ATAGGGAGTCACTGTTGTACACCTATACGTGAATGACTCGGATTGAATTTGGGCCATTCTGTGGCCGATCTGATGCTCACGATTGTTCGATGGTATTTGAATTTTAATGTTTTTTATACATATCCAAATTACTTGATATTTTAGATATGTATTTTTCACATCAAGGCGTACCTAATAAAAATATATATATAAAAATTCACGAAAACAAATTGATCAAAATACACCCCAGAAATGTTTCGGCGGTATTTTGGTCAATTTATTTCATGTAAAATATTTTTTTAATATTTTTCGTAGATTCACCATAACACATGCCTAAAATTTCAAGTGATTTGGATTTGTAGAAAAACAATTAAAAAATTCAAACACTATCAGACATCTGTGATCATCAGATCAGCCCAAATTCAATCTGGGCCGTGGCCGTTTACTGTAGCAGTACGCACCTGGGTGCATATGACCCTTTTCCCATATATATATATATATATATATGGTTACGATTTGTATAGAGCCTAGGCTCTAAACAATCAAATTAAAGCCTACCTTCAAATAGTGTTGAGAAATGTGGTTTCACTACTGCAAAAGATATTCTTACCAAAGATGTGCAAAATTTAGTGTCTAAACAGATCTTCGCAAGGTGGCAAGCCATCCTTTCTGCGTTTGATTTTACTATTGAATATCTTAGTGGTACGTCTAATCATTTACTTGATTTTCTAACAAGAGAATTTTTGCAGGGGGGCAGAACTGACCAATCTGTCCTAGAAGAATTATCTTTAGGAGTTATATTATTCAATAAAAATAAAAATATGAATACTAATCGTGGTAAATCACCAATGGATATAGTGCCAGCTGGTTCATCACCCAGTTCATCACCTTCACCTATTAGAACTCTAGTACCATATTCTCCAACTGACCCAAATAATCCAGTTTATCCTATATATTCAAGCCAACCAACTCCACAATCTCCAAGAACACCATTATTCTTACAATCTTCTGTTCCAAGAAAACCAACAGCCAAATCTCAATATGAAGCAACCGCTTTTATTGATGATATTATCATTGAAAATAATTAAGTGGCTGAAAACCCAAATATTCTAGCCAGACATTACTTATGCAATAATCTGAATCCTTCCTTTGGTATAAAAACCAAGGAATGGTTTGAAATGCTTTTACTTGAAATAGGTTCTGTGCAATTGCACACTATTACCAAAAGAATTCAAGAATAGTTTCATATTCGAAATTACAAATACGAAAGATATTACATTTTCATGAATGGGGTTCAGATCCATCAAGGGCAAAAAGATTAATATCCCCAGAATTCCCAAATAAGCATTTTCGTTATTCTGAATATATTGAAGCCTGGCACAAAGTGC